CCCCAAAACCCCAAAACCCCAAAACCCCAAAACCCCAAAACCCCTTGGTTTAATAAAATAATTGAATTATTCTTCTTTCTTAAATTCTTCTGCTTGAAGTACAAAGTCTTTAGCTCCTTTATCTCTTAGATCATTTGCAAGCTTTGTTCCTAATTCTATCCACTCACCCAAATCGCCATCAACTGAATGAGTCAAACAATTGCTAAAATCGTTTCGATCAAAAACACTGCCTGTAAGAATCAAGTTACAGTTTTCAACTTTGTGATCTTCAAAGTTGATAATCTCGGCTTTAGTTTCATCATCTTTAGCATATACATGAGCATTTACAGAAATAGGCAGAGTGCATCCTCCTTCTAAAGTCTTAAGATACTGTCTTTCAGCCTCAACTATTCTCCTGCTGAAAGGATTATCAATTAACTTCAATAGCTCAATTGTAGCAGGATCATCTTCTCTACATTGGACTGCGAGGGAGCCTTGAGCTGGTGGATATTCATATTCAGACTTAGTAAGAACCTGATCGATCTTGTCTTCCCATCCTAGTCTGACTACTCCAGCTTTTGCCAGAATAATTGCATCATATTCTTCCTCCTCCAATTTCCTAAATCTCGTGTTTAGATTTCCTAAATGATAAGATATCTTCTTTACCTCTAATGTCTAAAATTTCAAGGTGAGGATGCTTCTTCTTTAGAGTACATATTCTTCTTAATGAAGAAGTCCCTACTTTGGATCCCTCAGGGAGATTGTCAAGAGTCTTATACTCTTTATTACTGCTCTTGAGGATTACTACATCATCTCTTGCCTTGAGATCTGGAATAGCAACTACAACTAAGCCATCAACTGGAGTAGTTGGAAGATCTTTCATTGAATGAACTCCAATATTGCAGTTTTTATCTAAAATATGTTAATTTCTAGTGAAATACCAATGATCTGTTGTTCAAGTTGCTTGCAGAAAACTCCAGTACCACCCATATTAAACAGCTTTGTCTTTTGGTCTTGATCCCCGATTGAGTTTTTAATCTCAAATATTGGGAAATTTTCTCTAGTAAGCTCGATTCCTTTCTCGGAGGCTGCTTTAATTATCATGTCTATAACTTCAAAGGTTTGGACCTTTGCTAAATCACTAGATCTTGTTCCGACTGTGAACTTGGATTCAGATGTAATGGATGGCTCCATTTTATTTTATATTTTCAATTTTTCATCTGAACTTAGGGGTTTTGGGGTTTTGGGGTTTTGGGGTTTTGGGGTTTTGGGG